ACTCCTGAGATATAGTCAATGTCATCTGACTCGTACTCCGTATCTCATTCGAATCCAGACAATTCCATTCATGCTGGAAAATTCAACGCCACCCAAAAGGGAGGGCTGAAAACCGGCCTCCCTGCCACCAATGGCAAGTCCAGGGATAATAATACCGAGGCCGTTGTTCCACTTCAGCTGCAGTAGCTCAGTGCGCTATCACGATGGTGGCGCATCTGCACCCCTTCCAACCAATCCCTTTCTGCAGGATTGTGTTGGAATATGCAGCAGCAGGAAATACTAGCTGCTGGTGTCCCCAATTTCCCCGCCCGGTTGCCCTGCTTTGCCTCCAGCTTCAGCCATCGCTGCAGACACATGTTCTCAATGCTTCTCCCACATCGTAGTCTTTTTCTATTCTTCCTCACTGGCTTTCATAGTTTTGGACTATCAACATGTTGTCCATAGTTAGTGTTTTTGTCGGACTTGCGTCCATCTACTTTCTCTATGTCTTTCTTGGACCTAAGAAGGCATCTGCGCCACTGCCCCCAGGGCCTCCTCCAAAGCCCATTATCGGCAATATTAAGGACCTTCCGCCGCCCGGTTCTAAGGACTGGCAGCATTGGTTGGATCATAAGGAGAAATATGGTATATCACCATCACTCATTTCCTACAAGTGGCATCAGTGATAATACTGACGTTATACTCCAGGCCCAATCAGCTCCATCACTGTCTTCGGACAGACTCTTGTTGTCCTGAATGATCCCGACATGGCCTTGGAGATGTTGGAAAAGCGTTCTGCAAAACACTCCTCCCGGCCCCATCTTCCCATAGCAGAGTTGTATGTTCCACCAATTAAATCTATCCTTCAGTAGCAACAAAAGAGACTAATTTTTCACACCAAGATCCGGATGGGACAAGACACTTGGTCTTCTCCCCTACAACAACCGGTTTCGCGCCTACCGGAAAGCTACGTACCGCGAACTCGGGTCTGCCAACGCGGCAGGTAAATTCGATGGGATCGTCGACAAAGAAGTTAATCGGTTTCTTCTGCGTGTGATACAGTCACCGAATAACTTGGTTGATCATCTTCGCAAGTATGTTTCTAGTCTGCAAAAAGTTGCTATGTGTCTAATGATACCAAAGAGAGTCCGGAGCCATCATCCTCCGGATCGGATACGGATATACCATCGAGCCACATGCGAGAGATCCCCTAGTTGACTTGGTCGACAAGGCTATGGACGACTTCTCTCAAGTCGTTCTTCCAGGAGCCTGGCTGGTTAACTTTGTTCCTTTCCGTCAGTCTGCCATCCTTCCTCGATGAGAATTGGATGCTGACAGCGCAGTGAAATACCTTCCCACCTGGTTCCCTGGAGGAAAGGAAAACCAGACGGCCAAGGAATACAAGGACAGACTGGCCATCATGCATGACAAGACATATGACTTTGTAAAGAATCAAATGGCAAAAGGTACGCATCAGCCATCGTATGTCTCCAGTCTGCTTGAGAAAGACACCGTCCTTCCTGGTTCAGAAGAGGAAATCGTTGTCAAGTATTCTGCTGGAGCTTTATACGGAGGTGGTGCTGATACGGTGCGTCTCGATCCTCCCAAAAATCACCATATCTCCGCTAACAACGCATAGACTGTCTCCGCTTTATCATGCTTCTTCATGGCCATGGCCCTCAACCCGACCGTCCAGAAGAAGGCGCAAGAAGAAATCGACCGGGTCGTAGAAACCTCCCGACTGCCCGACCTCTCCGATCAGAATAAACTCCCCTACGTCAACGCCGTGTTCCAAGAAGTGTTCAGATGGCACCCCGTCACCCCTCTTAGCGTAACCCACGCCTCTAGTGAGGAAGACATCTTCAACGGCTACCTTATTCCAAAGGGCGCCATCATTGTTCCCAACGTCTGGTAAGTATCCCTTCACTCTTCCCTCCTCTCAACTCAAGCCTAACCCAGAACAGGGCCTTCACCCACGACCCAACCAACTACCACAACCCCGAAGCATTCAACCCCGATCGCTTCCTCGGCGCCACCCCTGAGCCAGACCCCCGACTCTACGCCTTCGGATTCGGCCGCCGCATCTGCCCCGGTCGCTTGCTCGCAGAGAAGAGCATTTTTCTCACTGTGGCACGGGCACTGGCGGTACTGGATATTCAGAAGAAGGTGTGGGGTGGTAAGGAAGTTCCTATCCATGTCGAGTTTTCTTCAGGGACTATTAGCCATCCTGTTCCGTTCGAGGTGGATCTGAAGCCGAGGAGTAAGGGGCACGAGGAGTTGGTCAAGGCCGTGGAGAGGGAGTTTCCGTGGGAGGCGAGTCATGCGAAGGAGTTGGGAATCTGAGGATATGCAGAAATGTGTTGGATGGAGATGTTGATGTTGGTATGTGGCAAAGTGTGTGAGAAATATTTTTGTTTGCTTGAACAGTAAGATACACAACGCGTCGAGTAGGATCGGTTCAACGCGATCAGGACTGCCAAGACGGTCAGTATACATTAAATAAATAGACACGATCGCGTCTATCTGGAGCTAAGTAGATCGCGTACTCTGTATCCTGCTGCATAGCATAATGCAACCATAAACAAGATGAATAAATCAAATGCAGTACCTGCTGGCTGTCCCTTACACAGAGTTCCATTGGACCCGATCTCCGACTCAACGGAACGGACCGACCGGATCCATTTTCCGTGTGATCCAGTCGCAGTTATGTGGGGAAATTATTGAAGTGCAGACGCAAGGGCTTCACTTGCGAAGAATATGTGGCTGAGAATATTTTCCAGGCGGTTGCGATTACCAAGGTATCTAAATTTTTGTTTTGTAGAAATGGGTGAGGGGAGGGTGAGGGAAAAAAGAAGAAAGAAGAGATTTAGCCATAGGAGCCAAATCAAGGCCGGGCGGGAAAAAAAGAAATGCCTCCACGCGGGATTGAACCACGGACCTCTTGATAACCGTAAAGGATACAAGTCAAGCGCTCTACCACTGAGCTATAAAGGCGATTCTTATCCATTTGAAGCAGAGTAAAGCCTTATGTAGGGGAGATAAACTGGTAACTGTTAATCGGCTGGTCGGTCTTCCATGAACATATATATGGAATAGTGTTCCATTTTCTGTTACAAAAATTCAAAAGTTGATTATAGGAGTATACCAAAGAAAAGTCTACACCTAGTACTGTGCTATACCTATGGTCTAGTCCCGGTGCCTCGGCGTCCGAGGGCTTAGTCTCACTACCTCCTGGTATGTCCGCCTCGTCGAAGGATCACAATGTCATGCTTTAAATATAGTTGAGTGAGCCATCAGCTATGATGGATGTCAGCCAACCATGATAAGCACCGAATAGCTGAAAGGCTCGACACACTCCTCAAGATGACTCAATACAACACACAGTAGGTGATGCGTCGGCTACGGAGCTACTAATAGCCCGGATATGTCGCACTCAATAGCGTCAATTCGTCTGTGCTGATACCTGCTAGGCTTAAAGCAGTGACTGACAAGTAAACTGGACTTAACACATCATATCATCTTATCCAGCCTGCACCCAGGATTCAGGGACAGCACAAGAGAGCCTCTTACCCGTCAGCTTACTGGGGTCCCCGGCTGGCTGCCTTGCATATAAGTCAGGTCATATGAGGAGCCCCGACATATGACTTAGCATAAAATAAGCTTTGGGTCAAGCTCATTGTAATAGTGAAAAATATTCATGGCGTCAATAAAAGGAATCACACTGGCTTTTCGAAAGTTATACCCCTCGTTCTTTCTCTCCTGTCTAGAAATATATCCGCCTGTCACCACTGCAAGGAAGTTAGTACCTTGGGTACAGCATACTAGAGTACTATACGCAGTCTCGCTTAGATCGACTATTTGTTATTTAAATTTCTATTCTTATTTTTATTTAGATACATCACGTATCCATAACGTTGGAATACTGCCGTGTACCCAGAGCCTTTTATACTATCACTCTTATCGGTCGCAAATACGCATGGGAGGCCTGATGTCTCAGAGCCGTGGCGGAGCCCTACCAACGATATGCCGCGACTCTATTCAAAGTGGCTGACCGAGGTGCCTAAAAAAAGCAAGTAGTACAGCATGAGGTGCCGTGTCTAGTTCTAGTCGTTCTTTTGTACTGCCAGCGTCTGTAAAAAGCATATATAGACCCATTCTCCCGACCGATGTCAATTTTCATCATTGTCATTACTTACGAGCTTCTTTCGAATCCACAACACATTTTTAGTTTTCTTCCGATATCTACATTAACTACATATTCACCATGAAATCCATCCTCTCCCTCGCCCTCTACACAGCTACCGCCCTAGCCCAGGGCATCTACATTGAGTCCCCCGCCGCCGGCACGGAGCTAAAAGCCGGAGAAACAGTAACTGTGCAGATCGGCCGTCCGGTACATCCATCCCACTCTCCACCTTTACATTCTTCCCCATCTACCCCAGGACTATACCATACGTAGCCCCCTCATTCATGCTTTCTTTCCTGAGATAGGGCTTCCCCGAAAACATCGCCGAAATCGGCATCGCTATCGGTATCGAATCCTGCTCCGGGTTCTCGGGATGCACCGCCCCCGACTCTGCTATTGGAAATCTCCTATACAGCGGTCCCTATGACCCGCAGTCCAACGGACCTCCTTACCCGTATGAGAACTTCACTGTCACGGTGCCGGATATGACGGGCCCTGCGCAGATCGGGGTTGTTAGGCCGTATTTGGTGGGGGTGAGTTTAATTCCGATTGATTTGTTAGGAGGGTTTGATGATGATTTGCTGATGTGTGTAGCTCTCGTATGAGTTTGTGGTGGGGACGGCGGTGACGAATGTTACGATTGTTTGAGGGTGGAGGGGTGGGGTGGGTTTGTGGTAGACGATAGATGGTTGGGGTGGTGGTAGGTGGGAAGGAAAACAATACTGCCTATTTCTAAAACATTGTAGTATTGTCCCGCGTTGTTCTATCATAGAAGAATGAAGAAAGTAGGTACACGTGCTGACCAGCACAACCTATCCAACACATCTTATTTCAATCAATCCGGCATGTCTAGGCTGTACACGCTGCTCAGCGTGAATGAAGCCTTGTGCGGCACTTGGACCTGCCGCAGAAGTGTATATACTATTTTGATCGAAAGTGAATTATGAAGTGGAAGAAAGAAAAAGACCAGGAGATCAAGACAGAACAGACAGAAAAGAGGAAACATAACCACAAGTGAAGATAACCTGGTTTTGCAGGAGTTGAAGGATATTCTTTCTCCTGGGGTTCTGTCAGCATATCATACATCTCTCAATGCATCTGGATCAAACCAAAGGAAGTATATTCGGCCGGATTGAGCCCCAAATATAAGAGAATTCTCCCGAGTTGCCCATGCATCGTCAAATACGTTGTTTCGGTATTGCGGAGGCAACCAAATACTCTTCTTATTATTAAGAATAACCCGGTCGTCCTCAACAGAGATCTTGCACTTGGCGGACATGTCTTGTTTTGTAGGATTGGTGCGAAGTATACTTCCAATGCGAGGATCGTAGATGCCACCAGTCTGTTCAGGGTGTCCTGTTTGTGTATTCCATATTCGAAATGTAGTTTGCCCGAAATTGGTAGCCAGAACTTGGTTTTCCGCAAAGAAATAGACCAGACATAGCATTTCACTACCATGGTCGAATTTCCATTTCTGTTGCCCGTTCTCGGTATCCCATACTCTGACTGTCCGATCAGATGAACTAGAGGCGAGTAGCTTGCTGCCTGGAGAGAAGGCAGCTGCTGTCACTTCGTCGTGGTGGCCTTTGAGGGTTCGCACCAATCTCCCATTCTCTGCACCCCATAATTTGACTGTGGAATCCAAAGAGTATGTTGCCACCAACCGACCATCTGGTGAAAGTATCACACCTTCTATTGGCTCTGAGTGATAATCCATGCTTGGCTCCTCCCTCCCCGGGGCCACCTTCCATAGCTTGACTGTATTATCATATGACCCCGATGCCACCAACTGGCCATCAGGTGAGAAGGCAACAGTTGTAGCATGGTTAACATGACCCTTCAGTGTTTGTTCTAGCGTTCCAGATTTTGTACTCCACAGTTGAACGGAGTTTCGCAATGGACCTGCAGAGATGAGATTGCTATCCGGGGAAAACACGGTCAAATCAAGCACATGTTCGTCATGAATTGTGTGCTTGATATTCCAAGTCGCAGTGTCCCACAGTGTGATAGTTCTATCATCTGAGGTACAGGCCAACATCCGGTTGTCAAGGGAAAATGCAACATTCGTGATCTTGCCCAAGTGAGCGAGCTCGTGCACTATAGTATCGGTCTCTATATTCACCAAAACCACTGTATTAGGAGCATAGGCGCGTATTGTAGCTGCTACCAATGCCTGACCGTTTAGAGAAATGGCCGTGGGCGCGAGCGATGACGTTGAGCCCGAGGGTCGCCATTCCCACCTAAGTCTCCACGTCCCCTTCTCCCACACCTTCACAACACCATTGAACGATGCAGACCCCAATAGCTGGTTATTCAGAGAGAACATCAGATGAGCGATGTCTCCAGATTGCTCGAGTCTTCCTGTTTCCCGCCATGTGATTGTATTCCATAACCTGATACTACCATCACTTAACCCAGAAGCTAGTAGCTTGTTGTCTGGTGAAAACGCCACAGCTCTAACCCAACTCGGATGATCAAGTATCTTTTGTAAATTCCCTGTGAACGAGTCCCAGACTTTGACCATTTTATCTGAAGAGCCCGATGCCACCAGCTGTTCATCTGTAGAAAATGCAACAGAGCATACCCGATCTGAATACTCAAGTGTTTGGAGCAGTGCACCCCATTCAATATCAGCGCCAACTGTTCGTAGGATCCATTTGCAGACTTTCTTTCGGAATATGCACCTGATGATACTTCTCTCTGGCGGGAATATAAGACAGGAGACATAGAGCTGAAGAGGCGCTGCGGTCGCAATTGGCAGGTTCTGCAAGATAAATCTTTCGGCGTCCATTAGAAATTCCAACAGTACCGGCACGTTCTCAGTCTGGTTGAATATCAGTATAAGTACAGGCTCGCTCATACCCACTGGTTTACTTCTGAATTGGATTTCAATTGACCGACAAGCCTCACAATATCGGGAAACAACCCCAGCAAACCCATTGCCTCTAGCCAGTGAAGGAAGTGTGTGTTGAAGAACGAAAGGATATCCTCCATGTCTGTGAACGTGCAGCCACTTTGAACTAGATGATAGACCCAGTAGCGACATGCATACCGAACACAATTCAAAGGGTCTGGATTGGGGATTTGCACATCTTCTATCGCAATCCCGTAATGAGACACGCCATATATGTTTTGTTTCAAGTTCTTTCTCAAACCATGGAGGGCTCGTTTATACATTTGGTGATGAAGCGTGGCCGAAGAGACATTGTAGAGTCTTCGATAATGCTTTTGCAGATAATCTTGCGCTGATTGATGGACCAGGTACACGGTATTGTTTCGAATGGTCAGAAAGGACCGACATTCCTGGACGACTGCTTCCGCTGTATCCTCACCTTCTGGAAGTTCTGCGAGAATCTCAATCTCGGACAAGGCCAGGGGATCTCTGGCAATCATAGCAGCCATGAGGACATTCCTGCAGCATGAAGACATAATTTCGGAGTTTAAATTGGCCAATCTATCGAGCAGGTAGCCATAGAGATCTTCCAAATCTTTTGGAATTTTGTCGACAATTTCGGCCCACATGAATTCATGGGCGTTAATGAGCTCTCTGCAGACTAATGACACCCAGATGTAAGTATTGCTTGCTTCAGCTTTCAATTTAGCAGCTAGTTCCTCGACACGATTCTTCTTACGTGCCTTATGCCTGAGCTAAACCATCTTGAGATCGATATATCTGTCGATAGAGTGCGACATGTCATGTCCATCGAGCTTCAGAAGACTGTGTGTGGGCAGAGTGGGGTCCTGCACACTTGCTGGTATTTCTGGCAGTGGCCGGCTGGAGACGAGCCACTTTATATTGAGCAGCTCTTCAGCCGAGGACGCATCATCGATGAATCTAGTCAGTAGTTCTCTGCTTTTCTCCTCGCATTCATCCATGGCATCAATGATAATGATGGCTCGTTTCAAGGATTTATCCTCCAGCATCTTTCTGAGGATGTCACGTAGAGTTGTGAACGCATTTTTATCCGTAAGCAGGCTGCTTGCCGAATGAAAGTATTCCTTCTGAATGTGTGAAATCAGGAGTGGTTGTTCCAGAAGCAACAGCCATATTAGACTGCGTAGAACCGCAACGCCGTTGTTGGCTTGGTCATTCGTGGCTTGACAGAAAAAATATAGATTCAATGGACGTTCTGTATCAACAAGTCCACGAGAGATCAGATCTTTTATGATGCCGATCAAGAGCATCGTCTTTCCAGTTCCTGCCTGACCACTAACCCACAAACGTGCAGGTGTAATATTATCCCACTTGCTGAACTGTTTGTATTCATCCGTCAGAAGAATCCACGTATACAGCTCTTCAGGGCCCTTGCGACTATCGCTCGCATTCGTTCTTCTCATAAATCTAAGCGAGGACCAATACCTTCACCAGCTGCATCAGAGATGGGCGTTTCGAGAAAGACCGCCAACACCAGTTTCTCGTATGCTTGCACATACTTTGCCTTTTTTGGATCTTGCAATATATTATTGTAGGCTTTGTTCCAAAGGGTATTGTGGATGGTGGTCAAACATTCTGTCGAGGTCACCTTCTGGTTAGAATGATCGAGAACGTGCTCGTTCGCTTGTGGCTTTTCTTGTTGCGTGGCCCCGCTAGGAGGGACATGCCAATTCCCTTCCACAACTTTTGCAGTGTCATGATATTCAGATTCCCCTTGAGTTGGGGAAGTCGAATCATTAGTCGTGTGGGGACCTTCGGCCTGAGTGCTTTGCTTTCTCGGCGTTCCTCGAAATGCTTCCAATTTCTGACGAACCCTTGCTCGAAATCCTGTCTTTATTGAAAAATACATCTTATCGTGTTCAAATTTGATGCCATAGTATAAATAATGTGGAAGCGTAGCATTTTTCGAGCTAAAAAGGTGGGCGAGACCGCAATTTCAGGGTTTACAGCCACGCTATATCGAACCCCTGTCCGTGGATTATACGTGGGCTCATTTCAGTGGCTATTGTGACGCTATTGCGGGATTTTAGGCGCGTACTAGATCCATTTAAACTCCACCGGATGGGCGAATCGGAGACTATTAGCCCGTGACTTCCATCGGATAAACTGTTTTTAGCGGCCATTGTTTCTCCCCGTTATCTGTCTATTTCAACGCCCAGTCAGCCCAAGGAAAAAAAAAAAAATAAAAATAAAATAAAGGCTTGGTTCTCCAGGGTTTCTTGTTATACGTAATTTTCTTTAATCTTCTTTCAAGTTCTGAGCTTATTGATTTTTGATGAGATATAAGCATATACTTGATGTTATTTACTAGCATATTCGCTTGTAGTTTTCTCTTTCTCCCTGTCCTTTTTCCCTTTTTTCTTTTTTTTTTTTCATTTTTTTTTTTTGGTGTGTCCATTCCTCGATGTTGGGCATTTGGACAATGTTATAATCCTAACTGTTAGCCCATGATCATATTATATAGCAAATTTGGAATTCCTTACATATAGTTCTCATTTTCGTCATGTTTTCTTTCTCTCGCCGTTGAAGTGAATATGAATACGCATATATGAACAGATCAGATATAAATATATCTTAAATACACTCCATCCTTACTCCAAAGAGTTTAAAAACTGCCCTGCGCTCTTCCATACCTAACTACATACAAACAGGAAACAAAGACGGACCGTTATTCAAACCAGCCTACAGAAATCCCCTATCACCTCCTCTCAATAAACACAACCTTTAACTCCCCCAAATTCGCCACAAACGTATCCCTCGTCTCCTCCCTAAACCTCCTCCCATCCTCCCCATCCGCCAACCGCACATCAAATCTCCCAAACAGCATCGCCACCACAACCCTTAACTCAATATACGCTAGCCCCTTCCCAACACAACTATACGCGCCACCCACGAACGGGAAATAAGCCGCTTTATTCATAATCCAATCCGGTTTCTCATCTGTCCAGCGCTCGGGGACGAATTCAGACGGATTTCGATAGTACCGGGGATCGTTCTGGACGGGTAGAATCGGCATACTAACTATTGTATCTCCCGGGATGAAGGTGGAGGTACCCTTATCATTGGGGATGTGGATGCCTTCTGGTGGTGTTTTGCGCTGGATTCCACCGTGTACTGGTGGCTGTATGCGGAGGGCTTCGCTGACGCAGGCGTTTAGATAGGGGAGGGAGGATATGGAGCGGTAGTAGGTCTCTTCGGGGGATTCGTTGGGGGGTGTTGATTCTGTTTGGCGCTTTGCTGCTGCGGAGTCGAGTTCGGCTTGGAGCTTGCGTTGGATGGATTGGTTGAGGACCAGGTGGTAGATTATGACGCTCATTGTGATGGAGCTGGTGTCTCTGTTCGTGGATAGTCAGTTAGAGTCAACAAAAAATTGAATAATGGTGGCGGGACTCACCCTCCAGCAATAACAAGCAGCTCTCCCTCACTATACAACGCCTTCTTGGATAAATCGCGCATAGACGGCAGCATCCTCGTCATAATATCCTCCCCAGACACTTCATTTATTTCTTCTTGCTGCCGCTTCTCCTGGATTCGATCTTGGATCCAATTTCCGTACTCTCGAATAACGCTACCAGCACCGGGCAGGCTCATCAACAAGCTGATAAGCCACGGCGTGTGAACCATGACATGCTGGCCATTCCGCATGTTCTTGACGAAGCTCAGACTAGGGTTCAACTCCCACGTCTCGATATTATTAAAGGAATAGCCCCAGCCGACGACTCCCATGATATCGTAGCTGAGAAGTGACATGGTACTGGGGACAGAGAGCGGTTGGTTTACACGGTGCATCAAAGCGTCGAGGAAATTTTCCGTCGTGCGGATGACCATTGGTTGGTAGGATTTCAGTGCTTTTGCTTCAGTGAGCACGATGTTACACATCCAGGGGGGTATGACCACCAACCTCTTCCACTAAACACCTTATCCCAAAGAGTCTTCCTCCGCTGGGAGTGTACGGCTGGATCCCGCATATGAAACACCGCATAGTCATGCGTGAAGTCACCCGAGCCCTTTAGACGATCATACCACGGGCCACGGGTACATTTGCTTGAAGGTCCATAGATGAGATCGATGGCTCCAGCTGACAGGATGCTGAGTTCCTGGGGCCCTGTCCGGACAATATCCCCGTACTGTCTGTGTAGGTTCCATACACGCTCGAAGTTTCGATTTTTCTCGAGGTTCTCGTATCCGGTTACGAACTTGGAGAGCTTGAGAGAGAATGGGCCTGGGAAGTGATGTAGACGATGGAAGAAGGCGCGGTAGGTTAGGGTTGAGGCGAAGAGGGAGACATAGAAGCAGATGTTCAGTATGAACACGTTACCGATGCCTAGAAGCCATGCATAGATGCTTGCCCAACTTCCATGGTTGTTAACTGTGGTGAGTAGGGCTAGGGTGTTCACCATCAGGTTGGCATAAACCCAAGCACGGCCCTCCTTGGCGCCGCGTTCTCCGCGTGACCAGTAGAAAACATGGGCACTGATTCCGGCAGCAGCCAGGAGAGGGCCTTTCTCCTTCACAGTGTCCAAAAGATCAAGGAACGAGGCCATTCTGTTTGGTCTGGAATTCTCCGGGGCATTGTGGTTTCTACTTATATATGCTTATGCTCTTGGCAGGATGTGGGGATCAAAGCGCCAAAAGAAACATACCAATAAGGACCCTTTATTGCAATTTCGGTTCGACTTTCTTCTCGGCATTTGCGAGACAGATCATCAATCCATACTGAATGTTTGTAGGCTATACCCTTTCGGGAGACGGTTGCGACATTGCTGATTGGCTACTCCGCCTAATCTTCAGTATCCACCATTTATTTTGAAGTCAATGCACGCAATGCCGGTGGAGTCGGACATTACTTTTCTCAACAGATGATTCGTTGTAATATCCTTTCGACGGTTTGAAACATTTATAGGGATTAAACGCCCTTACTGTCAGGACTTCAATGAGGTCAGTCAGCCGTATTGTGTACTGCGACTCAATGCTTGATCATTGAGAATGGACCAGTGAAAATTGAAGCCTAAATATGGCGGATAAACATTGAATGAGAATACTTTACCACACTTGTTGTACTTTGACTTAACCTCATATATACACGTGTTGTAAGAGGCAATTTTTATAGGGCTCGGAACAGGATCCCTGGCATATGACGAAGAATGCAAATTATCGTATCTATCAAAATCAAGAAGTAAGATAAATGAAACTAGTCAGGTGAGGTCCAAAAGACAAGGAGTAATGACGTCTATTATACTCCTGCATCATCGGCTGCGCTTGGGCCCGCTTTTGATCAGAGGGTGGTGGTCAGATCAAAGTCATACATACAAGCTTTCTGTGTTGATTAACTTATTGCTTGAATAAGATCTGGGTAGATACTGCCAACAGAGACTTTGGAAAGATAATATTTCCAACAGAACGCAGGTCGCTCGAAGTGAGACATAGTTTGGCGTGATAATGCGCTACTGTTTGTTTGGACCCAGCTTTCACACATTTCTGCGGACTTTTCCAAGATTTGCTAACGACCTCTTCTGTACCTATATATAAAAAGCTTTATAAGTCATCAAGGTATTATACATCCAAACCTAACGCCGTTCAAACTGTCAGAAACACCAAAGACACCACAAGATGCACCCCAATCATCCTATATACGTCTCGTTTCCGAGACGCCAATAATACAACAGAAACAAAAGAAAAATAATGAAAAGTGAAAGCCATCACACCGCCTGCCTTACATCAGCACGGTACGCCTGCTTCAGACTCCCCAACGAAAGTTCATCGGCGGACCTTTCCTCCGGGAGCCTCTGTGTCTCCTCATGATCGATCGCCGACCAACCGCGGTCCGCCCGACTGCGCGTCCCCTTCTGCGTCGACATTTTATAAGTCCCAACAGTGGGGTCCATCTTCGAGTTTGCCTGGGTAGCGTTCGACTTGAATATCTTCGAGACCAGCGGGCGCATGGAGGGCATGCAGGCCGTTATCATGGCGACGCAGATCTCGACGGAGGTGCAGTCGATGGCGCCTTGCAGGTCCCAGCTGGAGTCGGTGGAGTTGAGGGCTTGAGCTTCGATGCAGCGGAGTATGGAGGCGATACAGGTTCTGATGTTATATAAAATTAGTATCATACTTTTTGGCGGGATGGGAAAGAACGTACCCAAATCCAAGAGCAAAGACAGACGCCAGCATCCGTTTCTTACGACTGCTCATGTGTAGTTGATGGATAACAGAGAGGGGCATGCTCAGGATGATAAAGTCAGTGACGACGTTTGTCACGCCGCTGAATACCACGACGGCGTAGTAATCAATGCAGGTGGCGGGCACGGAAGGATCCCAGGCGTGAGAGAGAGGAACACATTGTAGCCAGGTGGCGAGCACGCTGCAGAAGTTGTACGCAACCACGACAAAGACCATGAACCAGGTCATGAGGCGGAACCATCGCTGTGGGAAGATCCGACCGTAGAATGTTAGGATGGAGAGCTTGGTGAAGCAGATGGCGAGACAGTAGAAGCACTCGGCGATGGTTATAGACTGTGTGTCTGCATATTAGCGTTGTGTGAGGGTGGGGTGGATGATAGAATTTAGTTTAGCTCACCAATGTTAAACCCTTCGCATCGGTTACATAGACAATGTGCTTTCCCATGCCAAAGTGGATGGTTATGTAGATTGAGACGCTGAATGCAACGTTGAAGAACTACCAGCCAGAAAAGGTGAGCTTGAGTTCTCCTAACTCATTGTGTTGCCAAGCCCAATGGACCTTACCAATCCTACTATGATAAAGTAGTCGTCGAGACCTAACCGCATCGACGTGATAGATCGGGCTATCACTCGCAGGATAACGCCTGCAGCGCTGGCGGCCATTGTGATTGATGCGCAGGCAATGATTCCCGGTGCACGGGTCGCACCCGGATTGGCTTCCATTGCCTCGATTTGAGCTGCTGTTAGACTTGACATTTTGGCAGAGTTCAGTAGTGTTGTCGTCTAGGGCCACCGAGAACAATCAAAGAGAATGTACACAACAGAGAGGAATGGGGGAGTGGATGGCAGGATCAGGCCTGGAGAAAAGGCGGAGTATAGACTTGGAATACGAGGATCCTGCGAGGCGGAGTTCCTGCAACAGCCCCCATGAAGAAACAGCCCCCATGGGGCTGAATGATGACCGCAGTTTGAGCATCAGGCCAGACGCTGTCTGATAACAACTAATGTTATAGCGCTAAGCAACTGACCAAGCAATTTATGCAGATGGGGGTCGATGCAATACACCTCATTACCGGTGGGTCGTTGTATTACTGTATGTCAGGTACTGTCACACCGGGTATTAGGTATCAGCCTACAAATTGCTGCATTTGAAGCTGCATCTGTCAGATCATAACCAAGTATAGGATATAATGGCTGAGGAAATGTCCCTTCATACTGAAGACCAGCTTGATCAACCTGGGGGCGAGAGTATGTAAAGAAGCCTGCTTGCCCCTCTCAACACGGTCCATCCACTGTCGCCCACACTATCGTCATCACGCCCTCAGCCATGCCCATTGCCAACACCAAAGCCGCAGCGCTATTGACGCTGCTTGCGTTGACACTCGGTTACCACCTTCGCACATGGCCCCTTGTGGACCTTATCCTTGAAACTCTCTTTGCCGTGATTATCTACCGCTTGACCTTGCATCCACTGGCCAGCTACCCAGGACCCTGGCTGGCCGCCGCCACAGACTGGTACAACATCTACTACTGCTTCACGGGCGATCGACACCTAGACTTCTACCGACTGCACGAGAAGTACGGATCAGCCGTGCGATATGGCCCCAATCGCGTGTCATTCCGCTCGGCAACCGCCCTGGCCGACATCTACGGCAGCCAAGCCAACACGCAAAAGTCAGCCGTCTACAGCGCCTTTACCCACTTCTTCACCGTCCCCGCAAGCCTAACCACCATTGATCGAAAAGCCCATGCCTTCAAACGGCGCGTCACCAGCCGGGCCCTGAACCCACGTGCCGTGCAGGATCTCGAAGAGCTGATCCTGCAGAACGTGCGCGCCCTGTGCACCGCCCTGACGATCCCAGCGGATCCCTACCCATCGAAGAACAATGAGGATCCAACTACCGAGAAGGATCCCTCCTTCTCCTGGGGCCGACCCCACGACCTCACCACAACAATCAAATGCCTCCTCAGCGACATCATGGGCGATGTGACCTTCTCCCGCCACTGGAACATGCAATCCAGCCCACGTAACCGCCACATCCTATCCCTAATGGCCCAAGGCACCCGCGGCATAAACCTAGCAGGCCACATGCCCACCCTACTCAAACTCAACCTGGACCGTCTCTGCTTCCCCACTTTGACCCGCGGCGTGCAGCAATTCTTCCACCTTTCCGAAGAACAGTCCTCTTGGCGCGCCGCTCAGCCCCCCGATGCCTTGCCGCACCGGGACCTCTTCGCCTCGCTCCTAGACGCCCGCGACCCACACTCGGGCCAGGGCTATACTCCGCGCGATTTAATTGCCGAAGCGGGCTTTTTGATCATTGCCGGTACTGATACTACGGCAACAACTATCACTGCCACTTTGTTCTATCTGCTGCATAATGGGGAGGCGTATGTCCGCGCACAGACCGAGGTCCGTGCTGCTTTTGAATTTGTCGAAGATATTCGGATTGGACCTGCTCTGGCGGGGTGTGGGTTTCTGTATGCTTGTGTAAATGAGGCGCTGAGGCTGAATCCACCTGTTAGCTCGGTTCTGCCGCGCCAGGTGCTGGAGGGGGGGTTGGTGGTTGGAGCAATGGATGATAATGATGGTGGTGGTGCAGATAGAAAATACTTTGTGCCGGAGGGGACTGATGTCGGGGTGCCGATGTATGCCTTGCAGAGGGATGGTCGGTACTGGGTTGATCCTCATGTGTTCAGGCCGGAACGCTGGCTGGGGGTGGATGCCGAGGATGGAGGTGTCACGGCGTATGCGCCGTTCGGGGCGGGACGGACAAGTTGCGTAGGTAAGTACCTTGCGTACCAGGAGATGGGGATTATTCTAGCTAGGTTATTGTGGTTGTTTGATATGCGGCTGGATTCCGTTCATAGGGAGGAGGGGGACAAGAAGAAAGGGGATGCAGCATGGGGAAGGAACCGGAGGGATGAGTTCCAGACACGCGATGTGTTCACCAGTTCGCATGACGGACCGGTTGTACAATTTCGTAGAAGAATATAGTTCCATGCCACCTTATTTTGATAATGATATACACAATTCTCTATTTGTCACATATTATAGTAGCTCATATTCTAGTAAATTTCAAACTCCCTCAAACCTATCAATAAATTACAGCTCCAAATAAATCTACTCCAACATTCCCTCGACCAACATCTCCCTCCACCTTTCAAACAACCCCTCAACAAAACTCCTCTCATAAAACGCTTCATTCCAATGCACCGATAGCACCAACTCCCCGTTAAACGTCCACACCTGCGTCAACAACAACCGATTAATAACCTCGATAGCCACCCACCACTCCTCCACCTTGACCTTCCTCTCCTTGCCCTCCACCTCCGCCTTGAGCAACTCGTTCACTCGTCCCATGGAACTCAGCTCGGGATGCGCCGGCGCAAGCAACGGATCAGGCGGCGCAGCGCCCAAGACCTGCATAACTCGTCCCACATAGGTAGGCAGGAAATCGAAGATGTTCTGCGGGGCCTCCTTGGCCAGATTCCTCCGGTAGAGGGAGGTGAATTCCCGCGCGAGGCGGAGGAATTCTTCATGCTTTTCCACCTGCGTTGGATAGAGTGGCATGCGGAACGGAAGACCTGTATGATAGAGCGATACGGCGGCTGCAGGGCCATTCCACGGTTCGGGGAGGTAGCGACGCAGGTCGAGGGGGTTGAAGCCGACATAGTCGGGTTTGTTTTCTGGGTGGAGGGCAAATTGCAGGCCCGTTAGGGCGAGAGCGGCGTGGGTGGCGGCTGTGATAGTGATATTGTGGGCGGAACAGGCTTCCAGGAGACGGGTGGTGGTTGCGCTGTCGATGTGGCGGAGGATGCGTCTGGGGTTGGTGGGGAGGACGTTGGGAAGAGTGAAAAGCATGAGGTTTCCATTGTCAGTCTGGGTGAGGCAGGGCTGGAGTTCGCGGTTTGAGGCTGCTGTAGCGGCGGGTTTGTCTAGGGGGCAAGTTGTGTTGGGGAGATTTGAGTCTGCGATGGCTTGGTCCACGGCGGGACAGAGACGTGAGGGTTCGGTCCCGTCGATGGGATGACTGGTGCCGTCTGCGAGGAGTTGCAGGAAGGCGGATTGCATGTGGTGCAGGCCGATGCCGTCGATGCGCCAATGGGGGGTGCGGAAGACTACCTCGGAGGTATTGGGGAGATAGTAGAGATGGACGCGTGGTGAGGGAGTTAGCTGCTCATAGAGGTCATTGGCAGTTCGATTGGGGTCGATGTGGAAGGTCTCTTGGGCCCACGCGTCGAGTTGGGTAGTAGAGGTGATGGCTTCATAGACGAAGCGCTCGCTGCCATTGCCATCTGCCTCGGGCTCAGCGGCCAATTGAGGGTAGACAGAGCGGAGAGCTTTCCAGGCTTGCTCAATTGCACTGGTTGGAGGTAGAGGCGGTTGCAGCTGGAGAGTGCAAGTAATTAGGTAGTGTTCTTTGTTGAGCGGAGCACCGGCGGCAGCAACAATGCGGTAGAATGACTCAATGGAGTCGAAGGGACGCTCGTATCGGTTCGGGGAGACTTGTGTCCAGGACATCTCGAAAACCAAGGGAATTGAGAGTTTGGATAGTGGTTTGGGGGCAGGTGGCGGTGTTCGATCAAGTTATGATATGGCAGGAGAGGACTGGGAGATTGTGGAATGATTGAGGGGTAAGACTTGAATTGATGGAGCAGGCGGGGGCGATAAATAACTAGGAAGGTATTGTATCTAGTATCTACTGTGTTACACTACCAGGCAAAGTGGATCTCAGGAAACTTTAGGCTGACAAACAGTAAGCACTAAATATCATTGAGACAAGATTTTATGGCCCCCTGCAGATCACTGGTGACTGGCGATACAAGTGTCACACTAAATGTTACTAGTCAATGCTTAGTGCGAGAGAGCGAGGCTTTGCTGCGTGGGGTCCAAAACACAAACAACGGAAGAAGCGGACACTGACATTTCTCCCCCACTTATTATCTTCGCTCTTCTCCCCCTCCTTGAATCCGTTCCTGCTGCTCTCTCTATCCTCATTTACACCCTCTTCCCTCTTACCTATATACCAGATATCACACAAATACTATACTTGAATAATGTCCAGCCAACCTCTTACCTGGGTCGTCACCGGCTGCTCCTCCGGCATCGGCGAAGCCCTAGTCCGCGCCATCCTCGCCCAGGTGAGCACCCACCCCACCAACATTTTCCTTACATATGTACCAATTACTGTTACTGACCAACGAATAATCAGGGCGACAAAGTCATTGCCACTGCTCGCGCCCGCAACAATGTCAGCGGTGCCGACCGTCTCTCGGCCCTCAAAGAAGCCGGAGCCGCAGTGGTCGAGCTCGACGTGAGCCGGCCCCAAGAAGAACTGGATGCCAAGGCACGCGAGATCTGGGAGATCTACGGCAAAGTCGATGTCCTAGTGAACAACGCTGGATACATTGACGCCGGTATTGTCGAAGAAATTACGTTAGCTTGCCCCCCTCCCCCCACTCGTTGTATACTGTTTTGAATCCCCACTAATAGATTCCCAGCGAGCCTTTCCTGATTGACGCCCTCCGCACCAACGCCTTCGGTCCCCTCAACGTATCCCGCGCCTTCCTGCCCCTCATGCGCGCCCAAAAATCCGGAACTGTGCTGTTCACTAGCAGCGTCGGAGTCTACTACGGTGCGCCTGGTGCATCATGCTACACAGGCGGCAAGGGTCTCCTGGAGGTGGTGGTGCCCAACCTGGCTCTGGAGCTGGCGGCATTCGGCATTCGCACTTCACTACTCACCTATGGTTACTACCGCACAGAGGTCATGAACCCTGGAAACTTTCACAGCCGGGCGCCTCGTCCCCTGCCGGAGTATGAAGAGCTCCGGGGTCTGGTGGTTGCTGGGTGTGCGGCTGCCAACCACAACCAGCAGGGTGATCCGGAGAAAGCGGCAAAGGTGGTGGTCGAGGCGGTTAAGGGAACGGGAAAGTTTGAGGGGAAGCAGTTGCCTTTGCGGTTGCCCATTGGCAAGGATGCTATTGCTGCGATGCGTAAGGCGTGCGAGGAGAGGTTGGCTATTTGTAATGAGTTTGAGGGGCTGGTGGATCAGACGGATTTCTAAATTTGAATGAGAATTGTATATAATGATTAGCTTCGAGTCGGTTCACTTAACGTCTATTAAAAATTGGTTGGATTATCCTGTATGAGTCGGATGGAATATTCCAAATGACTTTAGTTAAAATCTTGCTCTGTTGAGTGCACTTGTCCGTGACACAATCCTTATTTATGAAAAGGGATTGACCAGAATTTGATTTACTAATGCTTATGGCCAAAAAACCGGTCTATGTCTTATGTTTTGTATTGTAGATTTGATGGAAATGGAAATCCTAGTAGTCAATAGTAGTATCCACGGGTACTGTGAAACATATATCATTGTCGCAAATATGTCACCATTATCCTCTCCCATGATAAGTTACAGTTAAGTTTATATACAGAATCGACTAAAGTGACATAGATCAGTCAGCCGGTCTCCCCTGCAGCAACTTCTCCCGCTCCCCAACCCCAAAAGTCCCACTCTTGGTCAGAACCCTCCGCCTGGCACCCCTACTCCCTAGCGGTCCACTATCCCGATCTCCCAAGTACCACGCCAAATCACTTGTTTCATCAGCACCCGTAGCCGAGAGCCCATTCCCCAACCAAGCAAACCGATCTCCACCGACATACTCCCAATCATAATCCTCAGCCCTTAACTCACGTAACGCATCCGCAAAATGCAAACTACTCCCGGGCCACATTGACAATCTCGCACTATCGCCATCGGCCTTATAATGCGAGCGACACGCATCCGCCCAGACGGTCTTTTCCAACAAAAACTTACGACAATGAGCCGTGAAAGCCCGACTAGCGGTTCGCGACGGACTGAACGCATGAATATTCTCCGTCTGGTAGCGGTCGATTAACTGGCAGATGTATTCGGCTTGAATCTCAGAGGTGCGGAGGTAACTCCCGCTGATGGAGGGGAAGAAGGGGCCCGCGAACATGGCGTAGTTGGGCATGTGCGGGACAGTGGTTGCGAAGTAGGAGTCTAGGACGTCGTCGGCCCAGAGGTCCGCGAGAGATTGGTTTGATTTGCCAATTAAGGGGAAGGACGGTATGCAGGTGGTGTCGAAGCCGGTGGCGCAGACGATGGCATCCACGGCGTGGTGTGTTCCTGTGCTGTCGATGAGGCCGTCGGCGCAGATGCGGGTGATATCTCCGACGATGAGGGTGGTGTTGGGCTGGCTGAGGGCTGAGAGGTAGCCGACTCCGGGAGTTGGTCGACGGCAGCCTGGGGCGAATGTGGGGAGGAGTTCCGAGGTGAGAAGGTTGTGCTGATTTAAGGTTGCTTCCATTGTTTGAGTTAGGTACTGGCGCATACCTTGATGGAGTGGGCTGTCACGAAGGAAAGTAGAAAAGGTGCTGTTGATCACTGTCTCAATTTGTTTGCGCTTTGTGAGGAGATGGGATGGGTCGTTAGTCCATTCTGTGATCTGGTCCGGGGTGTATGTTTGCTGTGCTCCGCCGAAGGGGCCAACGATCCAGTTGGGTTGGCGGATGAAGTGGAGGAGTTGGCTGGCTTGTGGTTGGAGAGCTGTGAGGAGTTGCTGGCCGCTGGAGCTGTTGGGGGAGTGTATCTTTAGCCGAAGAGCAAGCAGAGGAAGATGATGGTTAGTAGCTTACCCGTTTCCAATCAGGGCAATTCGTTTCCCAGAAACATCATAGCCGTCGTCCCAATTGGCGCTATGGACCAGGTGTCCCTTGAACTCGTTCAAGCCAGGGATACTTGGCCACTTCCATCGGTTCAACGGACCACTGGCATTGATGAGTATGTCGGCCGTGTCGGTCAGGCTTTGCCGGTTGGCGAGGTCTTCGAGTTCAATGCCCCATTTACCCTCGGCATCGTCCCAAACGGCCGATGTGACCTTAGTCTGGGTGCGCACATACTGTTGCAGATTGTACTTTGTGGCAAAGTCCTTGAGGTACTGCAGCACTGAGCTTCCCGGTGCATATTCAGCCGGGAAATTGGGATTGGGCTCGAAAGAATAGACATAGTTGTGGGCTGGGACGTCGCAAGCGACTCTGGTTTGGTGGTCAGTTGCATGAGGTTATGCGGTGGGACAGGGATGTAGTACTACATACCCAGGATAGTGATTTTCGTACCAAACGCCCCCAACGCTTTTGTTTTTCTCATAGACAACTAATTCGATATTACGAAAGGATCGTTGTAGCTTGTATGCAAGGCAGAGACCTGCCACTCCGGCCCCAATACATGCAATGCGGACAGTCCGCTCCGCGTGGATGGGATGCTCGGCTCGATTTAGCGTCATGTTTTTTCTTTCCTTTCTTATATGGAAATGCTGGGAATACACGGCCTGAATGGACTTCAAACTTCCCCCTCGGGTAAGACGGAGGAGCTCGCTCTTATAATTATTGATGCTGTTTTGGAACCTTTCGGTATTGTTACGTTTCGGCCCCTGGTTTGCCTGGTTCCTAAATGGTAATTATCATGCAACTTCACATAATATTCGGTATTTGACAGGTAATTCTGTATTGAAACTAGTGCAAATCCTGCCTTGCATTTATGCCCCATGTATATTGACGTAAGCAAGGACAGCAGGGATGCCTTGCGGAGCCCTAGCCGCCAGGATCGACACTAATGTGGGGGCCAAATACTTCTTTATTTTCTTTTGCCACGAGGTTTATGGAGGAGTTCTAACTTCCAAGCTTTGTCGGTTATGAGTGTACTCCGCCTCCGGGCCCCCAATCTATGGTTGGGGTCCGGAAGGATAAAAGAGTCTTCTACTGTCGGCCCGTTCTCTCAAGACACCAAGACCAACAGTATCTTTCGCAATGTCATCAGAGATCTCGTCTTTCCTTACCTGGGGTGCACTTTTGGTCCTCGCCTGGACAATCTATGGAGCCATTTGGCGGCTGTATCTGAGCCCCTTGGCGGCGTTTCCTGGGCCGAAGATTGTCGCGTTGACCTCGTGGGTGGAGTTTTACCATGACGTGGTCAAGAAAGGCACATACATGTGGGAGATTGAGAAGATGCATCAGAAATACGGACCGATAGTTCGTGTGAGCCCGTACGAATTGCACTGCATTGATCCAGACTTCTACAATGTCATCTACGCCTCGCTGCCTCAAAAGAGAGACAAGTACGAAAAGTTCACCAAGTCGCCTGACTGCAACAATGCCACCGGATTTACCGTGGAACATGCCCACCATCGTATCAGACGTGACGCCTTGGCCCCATTTTTCAGCAAGCGAAACACTCTGGGCCTTGAAGATAGTATCAAGGCTTGTGTGGATCAGCTCTGCGCTAACATCGCCCGCTCTCATACCGCCAAGGAGCCATTCAATCTTACTTTGGGGTCGATTGCTACAACCATGGATGTCCTCACTAGCTATAGCTTTGGCCAGCCTTTTGGGCTCTTGGCTGACGAGGCTCTCGCTACCCAATGGCGTGATACCGTCTTTCACATTATGCGGGCCCTTCCTATCGTCCGTGCCTTCCCGCTGCTAGTGCGACTGGTTGACCTCTTACCTCCGATCATCTCCAAGTGGATCACCCCTGACCTGTCAATCTTGATGGGATGGAAACAGGTAAGGCGTTACCACTGCTGCTAGCCATTTGGGAGTTGCAACTGA